AATCCCATCAATTTTTCCAAAGAGCTGACAACCACAGGAGCCAAGAGGACCCCAAGCAGTGTTCTCCTTCTTTTGATTCTGTGCAGCTATCACATATGTTTTAAATGACCATGTATTCCCGAAAGATCTCCGGCAAAAGAGAGCTAATACAAATACAAACATTTTGGGGGACCCTGGCATTCCTTTCAAAATTACTTTTGTCAAAGGAAACCTTCAGGTTGCTGAGAAATTTCCCACTCTTAGCTACTGCTTGATAAGACTTTAACTCTTATTCACACAATAGGCCTTGGCAAGTTATTTCCCTCTTGGTTGATAGAACTGTTCTCCCCACAAGGGAATAGGCTATGATCATGTCTAATTCCCAAAGGCCTCATGTCCTAAAATAAATTATGAAATTTTTATTAACAAAACATCTATTTTGTATATCTAGCATTCTGTATCCTTTTTGTATAATGTTTTGCAATGTAGTATCTATCATAAAAACCATTAAACTGTACGGATGGTGCTTATGCAACACAATTTAATGTCTCAGCAAGAACTAGTAATTTGTTACCTACATGATGTACCATTGTAATGTATCTTTCCAGATTTTAAATGTTTGGAGGGCAAATGGTCACCAATATAGTTGTGGCACTAGACTATGAATTCTTTGTAATACCAGGCCATAGCCTAGTGTCTAATATAAAATAGTTATACAGTAAAAGTTTATTAAAGAAATGGCATAATTTGGGCTATGAATGTCTGTGTTTGTAATGGGTTCAATGATTTTAAGATACTAAAATTTAGGGATTTGAAAGGAGAAGTGTTGGCAGAGGAGAAAATGTTTTCCCTCTGCTCTTTGGCCAAGCATTCATGTTATATACCTTCCTGTTTCACTTAGAGTTCTTAGTCACTAGCAACATAAATGGATTCTAGGTGATAGAAGCAGAAAAAGAATGAACTGAAATTTTGCTAAGTAGTTCACAGAATAGATGGGAAATCTAAAGAAGAAAGCTCAAGCAATGGGCAAGACCAAAGGTGAGCTACTAGCCTGAAAGAATTCTCTAAAATGCAGTGTCTTCAGAATTCTTGACAGGTACATGTGCCTAACTGAGCCCAGATTGCATGCCACACCATAGCTTCTGGGGAAGCAAATGTCTAGCACTTCCCAGCTTCCATGATGGGATGTGGCTCTGCCTCTCACCATGGCTCATACTATGGG